TGGTAGGGGGGGCGGATGGCGGGGGCGGGAAGAAATGCGGGGGCGGGAAAGATCCTCCGCACTCCGCCCCAAAACCGCCAATAACAAAAACCACTAAAACTGCGGAAGGCCTGGTCACTTTCGAGCCCAATGTGGAACCCCCTCAGCCCCCAAAAGATCACTTTGGATACTTCCTCCCTACGCACTCTTAGTGATTCCCAAAGACTCCGCGGAGACACCAGCTGGCTCCGCCCCATTCTCGGACTCGCCGCGCACCAGCTCTCGCCGCTATTTAACATCCTTAACGGGGATCCGACCCTCCAGTCCACGCCACTTCACAGATGAGGCCAGAGAACAACTGGGCGCCGTCCTTAATGCCATCCGCACGCAATTCGTTTACCGTGTTGACCCATTCCGACCCATCCACCTTATTATCCTCAACACCCCTCAAAATGCCACAGACCTTCTAGGACAACTGTGCCCTGAATTACGCCCCCTTGAGTGGCTCTTTGGTAGCCTTCTTTCCCCGCACGCACGATTACCCACTATGCTGGCGTCATTGCCCTATTAATATCCAAAGGCCGAACGCGCGTTCTCATGCTCTCAGGATTTGATCCTAACACCATTTACGTTCCCCTGTCACCCAAACAGTTTGAATATGCTCTTTCTCAACCCACAGCCCCTCAGGTTTCCCTTGCAGGCTTCACAGGACACATCTTCTCCCATTCCCCATCAGATAAGCTTCTCTCTCTCTTTCAACGTCCCCAACCCACCATCCCCCAAGCTCTCTCCCCTCCCCCACGACGTCTGGAAAATCAGGCAAAGCCGCCCTTCCGTGGGGCTCTGACCCCTCCGAACAGCTCACTTGCTCTCATTTTCGCTTCATTCGGGAGGCCGACCTTGGAGCCATCCTCCTTGCCTTAGAGACGTTCCCCAATCAACCACTTAACACTGTTTCTGACTCGGCCTATGCAGTTTATTCTCTTTCCAATCTTGAGACAGCGATTCTCAGCCACCACACACAACCTCACATTCTCAATCTCTTACAAAAATTACATCTTTTACGAGCACAGTCCCACCCCCTCCATATCCTACATATTCGTTCTCACACCCCTCTTCCTGGGCCCTTGGATCACGGCAACACCATGGCCAGCGCCCTTGTCATGACTTTTCAGCTCACACAACACCATGCGCTCACTCACCAAAACCATCATAGCCTAGTCCATAACTTTCAAATTACCCACCGGCAGGCTCAGGACATAATGGGCGCCTGCCTTCAATGTCAACTTAACCCACTTTCCATCCCTTCCTCGTTGGGAACCAACCCCCAAGGGCTCTCCCCTAATCAGTTATGGCAAACTGGTGTTACCCATATACCCGCCTTTGGACAACTTTCCTTCGTCCATGTATCCATTGACACCTTTCCATGGTTCGTTTTCGCCACAGCCCATACCGGTGAGTGCTTCTGTGACATCCACTGACACCTCCTCGTAGCCTTTGCCACCATGGGCCTCCCCGCCCCTCTCAAAACTGACAATACATCCACAGCTATGCAACATTTCTGTGCCACATGGCACGTTTCTCACTCCTTCGGCATTCCGTACAATCCTCAAGGCCAAGCTATTGTTGAATGCTCTCACCACACTCTCAAAAACTTATTAGAAAAATTAAAAGGGGGAGACACCCCTGATACACCAGCCACTTGACTCCATCGAGCCCTCTATACTATTAATTTTTTAAACCTCTCCCCAGATTCTCTCACAAATGCACAGAGACAGTTCTCCACCTACAAAGAACCCCAGCCTAAACTCCTGGTCTCATACCGGTCGGAAACACGCCTGGTTGGACAAGACCCATAAAACTTATAACTGGGGGTGAGGCTATGCTTGTGTATCCACAGAATCCGAACTCCAATGGCTCCCATCCAGGAACATTTGCATTTAGCATGGCACAGGCACAGACCAACCCGATTCCCGAGAAGAACCATCTCAACCTCCAGAAGCCAAAGCCCAAGACCAGGCGGCTTAGCTGAACACAGACAGCCCCAAGCCTGACCTGGGACGGTCTGGAGAAAACCATTCAACAAGCGGAAAAGGTCCTCCAGACCACGATGACGTCCAAGACACCTGAGAGCCTCTTCCTAGCCATGCTCTCCGTAATCTACATCAATTCCATGTCCTCCAATCCTGACAAGCCCGAATAACTATCCTTTCAATGCACTCGAGCTAAAAAAACCTTTCCCCATCCTAACATCCCTACCACCGGCAATTTTAGAAGGACAAGAAGGGGGAGATGTAGGGACACAGCACTGGATTGCAATACTGTAGGACGCCTACTCTGAAAGGTCACAGCAGGGCAGCAACTTGGGCACATGTCAGCCGAAGGCGGTTGGCAACGGCCCAAGGATGGAGCCAGGAAAGGGACAATACATGCGAAGGCCAAGGGCAGATAGTAGAGATTAAGCAGAGGTCAAGACAGAACACGGAGGCTCTCTATGGACTGATTGCTTACCCCCCACATCCGCTTATCACGCAAATCCAAAATAGGGCTTTGTTTGTCTCTCTCCATAAAAGGAAGATGTGAACGACCTAACCTTCGAGGTCTTTGCCTCTGGCAGAGTCCCTCCACCCGCACGTCTGTCTCTGTGTACTTCTTTTCATGGTCGGCCTCATTGCGGGTTATTTCCCCACAACAGATGAAATAATATGATGCCTGAGATGTGCTTTTAAATATTTCAGCAAAAAAATAACAATAAATGAATTAATAAAAAAATAATTGAAGGAATAAATAAACCAAGGGGGAGTAGATGAAAATGAAACAGGATTGGCAAAATACTGATAATTTCTAAAGCTGGATGACAGTTCCATGGGGGTTCATTATGCTACTCTCTCCTGTTAATGGCTGGAATTTCCATAAAGAAAAATTCAAATAAAAATTTAAACATTAATTATTCCATCCACCTAGGATGATTGAGAAGGGGAGGTGTTTGAGTTGAGCCTGGAAGGATGACTAGGAATTTTCCAAGGGCCACAGGGCATTCCAGGCTAAGCAAAGACACACAGATCTGTCACAACCTCTCTCTGGGGCAACCAAAAGCATTAACACTTGACCCCAACTCAACCTGCATGCAAGAAAAATGCCCACCTGCTTGATGCCCTAACTCTCTGGGACATCCAGTCATAGCACCAAACTCAAATACCCTTTCCAAGTGTGTGGGGTAGACAGCTCCACTCAGAGGCCTACAAGAGGCCCCAGTGTAGACTTCAGAGGACTGGAAAACAATTAACCTCTTTCAGTTGGGTGTCACCTCCTGACAATGCAATTTGGAAGCCAGCTGAGCTATCTCAAGGACAGAGCTTTCATCCCTCCTGCGTCATCCCAGACACTGAGCTCCACACACACCAGCCTCCCCAGCAGTGCCGTAGAGCTTCATAGCCCCGGTACCACAGGATCCAGCTTGCTGTTGGCCTAACAGTCGGTCCCATCAGCATTAGAATGCCTCCAGTGAGGAGATGGTCCTCCCCTCCATTCTCCCCAGCCCCAATCCTCACACTGTTCCTGTCCAGCTCCAGCTGTACACAGGAAGCTCATTGGCTTTGCAGCCACTTCGGGGCTTATCCAGTCCTGGCCTGGCTCAGGTGGGTCCCATGGGTCCCTTACCTCAGATCGAAGCTGCAAGTACTCCTCTGAGCCATAGGGGACACTCCTCAGGGAGGTGAGATAGTCATAACTGATGACAGCTGTCTGTGAACCAAGGAAGCGGAAAGGTTAGCACCCTGCCATCAAATACTGCTCTGCCCAAGAAGTGCAGCTGCAGGCCCCTGACACAGGTGGGATGCTTAGAGAAGTACACAGTTCCACCTCAGATGCTCCGTCCCACGTTAGCCTGGCAGGCTTCTTCCTGTCCATCAGGGCTCTGTACAAATGCCATTTCTACAGAGTTCCAATCTAAAGTGGCCCCCACACACCAGGAATTCTCAATTATTTACCAAAACAAACCACCCTCCAAAATTGCCTTGTTCATTTGTTTCCTTGTACATGGACTGTTTCCCCTTCGCTAGAATTTCAGGTCTATAGGCACAAGGGCTTGCCCTTCCTGTTCATCTTCATACCCCCTGCACCTGCTACAGTGCCAGGCATATTAGGTAAATGCGCAGTAAACACTAGCTGAATGAGTGCTGTTGAATAAACTTCTCCCACCTCTCTGTATCACAACTACACATCATTTTATATTTATGTTTGCTCTAAAAGCATAAGTTGTGATTCTCGGTCCCTTGGCCAAAACTCCGGAAGTCCCCTTATCCTTCGTGAACCAGGAGATTACAGGCTCCCAGATATCTCAGGCATGGAGGAGCTGTGGGGATTACCTAGTCCAAACCTTCCCTTTTAGAATTGAGCAACAGAGGCCACCAGAAGTTAAAGGGCTTACAAGGTTGATACTGAGAGGAGTCTGTTCCTTTGCCTGCACCCCCAAAGCTTCATTCCATCTGACATATACCAGGAGTGCAAAAAAAAATGTATACACATGACTTGTATTCACTTTTGTTATGGGTATACAAGGTCTGGCAATTAAGTTCACAAATTGTTGCAACGATGTTGCTAACCTTTTTTTTAATATCAGAGGGATTATTCATTATGATTTTATACCAACTGGACAAACAATTAACCAAGTTTACTATTTGGAAGTGCTGAAAAGGCTGCGTGAAAAAGTTAGACGACCTGAACTTTTCTCAACAATTCATGGTTCTTGCATCACGACAATGCACCAGCTCAACACACTGTCTGTGAGGGAGTTTTAGCCAGTAAACAAATAACTGTATTGGAACACCCTCCGTACTCACCAGATCTGGCCCCCAATGACTTCTTTCTTTACCCAAAGAGAAAGGAAATATTGAAAGAAAGGTGACATTCAGGACATCAAGGGTAACACAACGACAGCTCTGATTGCCATTCCAGAAGAATTCCAAAATTGCTTTGAAGGGCAGACTAGGCACTGGTATTGGTTCACAGCTTCCCAAGGGAGTACTTCGAAGGTGACTGTAGTGACATTTAGCAATGAGGCATGTAAGCACTTTTTCTAGGATGAGTTTGCAAACTTACCGGTAATTGTCTGACCTCGTATATTGAGTATTACAATTTTAATACACTTTTTTCCTTTCTTAAAATGTGTCTACATTTTTTTGGCACCCTCTGTATCTGTTGAACACCAACCATGAGCAAGACCTGGTCACTAAGTGGTGCAGAAGGATGGTGAAGACCAGAGCCCTGGCCTTTCAAGAATGCACAGCTTCGTGGCTGATTTATAGAGCACTGCAAAGAAACTTCCTCCCTTCTTTCCAACTATTCAAACCCCCAAGGCTCCACCAAACCCTGCTTCCGCTCTGGCACCCATCCTGACTCCCAGCCCCAGGGCTCACTCCTGTGTCTGAGGTCCCACAGCAGCAGTCCTCTGAGTCACGCATCTTGAGCCAGTGCGTGACTTTAGACTGTTTTTTGACCCATTCTTGTCAATCAGAAGCTCCTTCAGAGATGTGTCCAGGTGGGACAGTTTGTGTCTACTCCTCAAATATATAAGACAACGCGAGGCCGAGAAAAGGCACTCAGTAAACACCTAGGAACCACATCATAGTCCACGGCCCGCTTATCTATTTGTCTGTCTGGAGTCTATGACTCAGCTTCCCCTAGAGGACAGGCACCACATCGGTGGCTTCCCCTCTGAGCCAGGCCAGGGACAAGACTTCACAACACCAAGTGTTAAGGAAATGGTTAGACAACAACCCAAACAGGCTGTGATTCAGAGCCTGTCTACACCAGGGGGAAGAAAGGATGAGCTCATCCTGCTGCACACAGAGGAGGCAAAAAGCATGAAGCATGCGGCGATCTACCCACGCGCAAATGGGACAATTACGTAGGCATGTCTGGGAAAGCTGCTTTCCACAGAGTTCATGTCCTCAAAGAGGACATGATCACGCCAGAACGATGTTCCTGAGCCGCTGGAGAAAAACTTCCAATGGTCACATAGTCAACTCAGATGCTCTGTTAGTTTAGGGATTGTAGGGGATTCCCAAAGTTCTCCAAGGCCTAGACACTCTGAGTATGAGCCCTGCATCAGGAACCACTCACACTAGCTCATTGGAGAGAAACCAAGTTTCCTGGTAGAATTTAATCAAAGCTGCAAAGCCTTGCTTCCTAGCATTTGCTGAGGAATGCCGCCCTCTGAGTCTGTCACTAAAATAAGATCAAGAACCTAAAATGGAAAGTCTTCACTTCAAAACAGATCCACTCTATTTAACTTCAGGGTGGCAGAGTTCATGCGTACAGGACTATAGGTACAGGCGGGTACATCTCTATGCCTGTGTACCTACAGAGGGAGCTGTGCACACGTAAGGGTACACGTGTATCTCCACATACGTGAGACCGGTGTATCCATCTGCTACATGTATGAACACCTGCCAGTAATACTGTAGTTCCTCTCCACCCCCAAAATGAGAAAGACCTACCGTAGCAACTGCTCTGCCCACCCTGACAGCGCCAAAGTCATTAGGGTCCAAATACTTGTTACTGTAGAGATAGAAGCCAGAGGCAGCAAGAGCCATGCTGGTCCATGAAGCAAGCTTGACAGCCCTTCTGGCCATGTCCCCAAGCCCTGCAAAAAGAACAGAGAGAAAGAGGAACAGTGGAGTTTCACAGTTAGTCAGACGGGGACTCAAATCCAGGCCCTGCCACTGAATAGACTGTATGACCTTGGGTCATTTTCTTAATCTCATTGCACCTCAATTTCCTCATTTGTAAAACAGGATGATAACTACCTCAAAAGTTATTGGGCTAAAATGAGGTCATGTATATAAAATGTTTAGCATAGTACCCACTCGAGTCAATTCTCAAAGTCACTCTTCCTTCAACAGTGCCAGGCATTATTCTAGGCACTGGGGACAAAGGGTACAAAACGAAGTTCTTGCGCAGGTGGCACTTACTCTAGATGGGATGACATATCATAAGCAAACAGACATATAAAATATTAGGATGCCGGGCCGGCCAAGTGGCGCGATGGTTAAGAACTGGCTTGGGATGCCAGGAGGGCCCCGGTTCGGATCCCACATATGAGGGCCAGTGACACTGCCCTCTACAGCTAAGATGCTGAACAACAGCTCAACCTGGAGCTGGACTGCCAGAGTCGCTGGCGATGGCGTAGGTTGCAGCCCCTGTGGCAGTGGGTTGCCATGGGCTACCGTGTGTAGCCAGCAGCCAGCATGAGCGGCCAGCAGCCGCTGTGAGCGGCCGTCCAGAAGCCGGCGACTGATCTGCCTCGCCCGGGAAGAGCGCAATGATGGTGCCAACTTGGGCCAGTGAAGCAACGTCCTCCCCAACTAGACTGAAGAACAAAACGACAGCAACTTGTCTGTTCTCCTTCCCCCAATTCCCCAGCACTGTTCCCATCCCCCCAATTCCCCAATAAAAATCTTAAAAAAAAAAAATTTCCCAACACCAAAATACTGAAATTTGCTCTCTCAGTTTTAAGGTGTGTTTTAAAAATATATATACATATTAGGATGTCAGCTGGTATGAAGCGCTGAGAAGAAAATCAAGGAGGGTAAGAGGAAAGATGAACACGTGGCAAAGGATGCTATTTTAGATGGGAAAAGTGGCAAAGCATGTTACCCGTCATTGTTTGTAACTATTACCATACCACTATGCACACACAGGTGTCATTAGCCCTCTATGCCCAGGTCAGAAATGGTCAAACCACAGCCAAAACGGCAAATGGTCAGAAGCAGCCAGGTAAGCCCTCCACATCTGGCTGAATTGGGGTTAGACTGCGCCTTGTCTACACTGTGAGCTCCTTGAGTGCAAAGACCATGGCTGTTACTGTTTTGTCCACTCATAGTCCTGCAGGGTGCTTAGGGATTCAATGTCCACCTACTGATTTAATCTGTTTAACCAAACTCACACTCCTTAGTCAGTGGGACTAAGTGGGCTGCTGGCTCCAACACCTGTTCCTACCTTCCTTGTACCTGCTCAGTCCACCAGGTGGCTGTACAGTCACTCTTTGGGACCATCACTTCCCTTCAATTCCTGGCAATTCTATCAGACTGCAGTCCTCGGCCACAGCTGCGCTCCCAAGGAGACGTGCAGCCCGGAGAAGTGTATCACCAGCCACCCGCAGGGGCAAACCCTGCACAGACACGCAGGAGAATCGGGTTGTCACCTTGTTTGCTTCCGTTCTAGTGGCCACCCCCGCCCTGCTCTGTGCCTGGTTCCCCTTTGTATGGAAACCACTGCTACACACAGCCTTGCCTTCATTTTCTTCAGTCTGGGTTGACGCATGCCTTATAACAGCGGTTCTCAACCTTCCTAATGCCGTGACCCCTTAATATAGTTCCTCATGTTGTGGTGACCCCCAACCATAAAATTATTTTCATTGCTACTCTATAACTGTAATTTTGCTACTGTTATGAATCATAATGTAAATATCT